AAGGGTTTAGGAGTTATTGAGGAAAAACGAAATTTTTGGTCAAAAGTTCGCTGAATGGACGGTGGAATGGTCGGATTTTGTCAACATCAATAAAATGCCAAATAATCATACTTAACTCATTAAATATCGAAGTTAAAAGAAAAACAACTTTAATTTGAAGTATTTTTCGAAATTTTGAGAGAAAAAAAATTATTATTAGCATTGTTCTCCCGATGTCTGATTTCTTTTTAATTATAGGAAATGCGTTTTGCTAGGATACATAAACTTTTGGGATTGACTGTATAGCCAATACATCCTTAACAGGTTGCACGTGGAGAATTTCAAATTCGCTTAAAATATTCGCTCTGCATTACAGGATGCATCGTAAGGAAATGTCACGTGTTAATGTGAACATTAATATCTGTTCGTTAGCTTAGTACTAAGAATAAAGCTTGGACACATGTACATGTATAATTAGAGATTTTAGTATGAAAGTGTTTCAATGCATGGCTTGTGAATTTTTTCTGTTAGTGAATTATTTCCATAAAATAGTTTCACTTTTATCAAATGCTACTTTAATATAGAGCGTCAAATAATGACAGAGATATAAACGTAATATAAATTATTTTTACTTTACTAAAAGCGTACATTGAGAAACTCTTAAATAATTCTATACAAACTATATTTCTTCCACGGGTAAAATAATGAACTTTGACAATGGAAACAAAACTTCGTTTTGCTTGCTGTCTCCGTAATTCACCAATGCTTCCGCGATAACTGTACAAAGAAGTGTACCACGTGAACAATGCGGAGTTCAATCAGATTGCGAAATTCATTAACGCGTACGTTAATGCGTGTAGAGAGAAAGAAAGGAGGGCGATTGGGTAACGGTCGTAGTGCCGCGTCTTTATCATTCCGTTAGTCGTTTAGTATGTCGTGCAATGCGTTTAACCATGGGGATCGTCAAGCTCGTCACTGGCGTTACGCGGCTCGCAAGGAAGCCAATCGGTTATCGGCAGTTGTGACTGACGATTTGTAGCGAGTTAGAAATGTTTCCTTGCTACTTTCTTATAAATGTGTGGAAATCGAGCAAGCGATTTCCGATGGCAAATAACGTTTTATCGGGAAAACCGATTCAAGTTAATAATATCTTTTGTCGATTTCGATAGCTGAAATCTCGACAAATATTGAAGGGAAACGTACTCTAAATTCCAGTGAAATAACGTATAGTTTACGGAGAAACGAGAAAGCAAGTTTTAACAT